CTTCTGCAATCACAGACTTGGTCTATTTGCTAAGCGTTAGATAATAGACCTTGAACTCTATTACCACTCTGATAATTCTTATTACACGTCCTCTAAGATGGCTACTAAGAAAAAAGGTCCTGTTTTTCGCGTTTCTGATCTCCCAGCCTTACGATCTGACGATGAGTTGATCATTACGCTCAAGGCTAGTATCACTAGCGCGCCATGTAAGACAGGAAACGCACCAAGCGTTACTATAGCTATTGTGCCGTCCTGTTACAACGATAACAACGAGGAGAGAGTTGCTCTTGTAGAGTTTAACGACGAGGTTCCCGACTTCTTGGCAGACTCAAAGGAAGACCCGCTAGGGGAGTGGGAACTCGAGATAGACAATGCATACGTTAGATTTGACCGGCACTTCTTCGGCTTCACACAGCTTTACACGCCAAAGTCCGATACAGATGCCATAGCAGAGTACTTGAAGTTCTTTTTCTTAAATAGCCTGTTCTCGCAACTCGTGACTCCCACTAACGTTGTGCGTTTAGTATCATTGCCATCACTGGTCTTGATGGACACGCTTACGGGTCATGGAGGGGTAAGGGACCCTCTGGGAGGATGTGGCTACGGGAATTTCTTGTAAACGACTTGCCAAATTGCCGCACAATGACCTATGGCTACAACTCGAAATTATCAAGCCATGGTGTTAATGAAATTATGGATTATAGCCGAGGGCTGATAGAGGAGCTTAAGAAGATACGAAAAACGGAAAAGGTAATGCCTGCTTGATCAGTCGGTGGAGAGCACAAACATAAGACTGACCATTAGAACACTATAGCTCCGACAGCGTCCAATTTTCTTTATCGCGCATAGCTTCGGCGGTCTTATACTTGCTCACGTAGGTCATCCTGTTGCAGCTAAATCTTCAATACTAACACTGGCGTAGTGCCTTGTAACGGCAGTGCAGACAAACGAAGAAGATCATCCAACAATTGCAAGCCTCCATAGGGCTACGTACGGGATGCTTCTGTTTGGCATCCCTCACAGAGGCATGGTGATAGATGATATCCAGAAGATACTGGCTAGGACAGATAATCATCCGCGCAATGTGCTGCTTCAACAGATTCGCGACAAGTCAGACTTACTTGCGTCACAGCTGGTTAATTTCAAGAACCTCATTCGCGACCGGAAAATAATCAGCTTTTATGAGACAAGACAAACCAGGGGGCTTGAGTTTGTATGATTATCCCATGCGGATAGCATTATAAAATAGCTAACGGCTGTATGATAGGATGAGACGGAAAAATGCTGGAAACGCACCGGCGACTTCTTTACAGCCGTAAATACAGACTCAGCCCTTCTCCAGCTCCCAGACTCTACCGAGGAAAACATTCCCGTAGACTCCGATCACTCGATCATGGTCAAGTTTGACTTCAAAAGCAACCAAGTATACACAAGCGCACGGGACAAGCTCAAGCAGTTCGAGCAAGATGCCCCAAAAGTAGTCAAGGCACGATTTTGTATGTAATCTAAATACTTATGATGCAAGCCGTCTATTGCAGATAGTATCATATTTAAATCAATGCCATAGTGTATTAGCTGACCATGGCCACTCTTAGTACGAGTACAGAATAAGTCCAAGCCATCTATTTCGCCAGAAGAATGTAGCCGTACATTGCTTGATTTTCTGCTTCCAAACCCACAGTTGAATAATAGTTTTGGTCTGTATTGGGATCATGAGCAGGCGAAACAAAAACATGTCGGCAAGACTGGTGACTGGCTACTTGGCTCTGGCGAGTTCGGGTCATGGTTGAAGCACAAAGGAAACAGTTTCCTGTGGCTGCATGGAATTGCAGGATGTGGCAAGACAGTCCTGAGGTAGGGCCTGTAAATGTTAAGCAAAGGAAAAGAAATTGAGGCTAACTCGGCAAGCTCAACCATTGTTGAGTACTTGCGAACTGACTACCAGCGACATCCCTCACCAGAACGCACTTATACAGCAGGCTATTATTTCATTGCGATAGAGGACCAAAAGCGGAACGTATCCAGGTTGCGTAGGTCCCTTCTGTTACAGCTCTTAGGGACTGAAGAAGCTATCCCCTCAAAAGTAGAAGACCTGTACAAGGCGTGTCTTGCACAGCATGCTTCGGATGATCAAGTTTCAGGAGCTCTGGAACAACTAATTGATAGAGAAGTCCATACATACATAGTTATCGATGCCCTGGACGAATGTGACATGTCTTTTCAAACTCGAGAGGCTGAAGAGCTAGCCAGCTTTATTCACTGGCTAACCAACAAGAAGGGGTCTAACCTTCATCTTTTAGTAACTAGCCGAAGTGGCGGGCTAGCAGGCTGCGTTAAGAGGGAGCTGGAAAATACGGTTGACAAAGGAACGGAGAAAGGTCTATATCGCTGCAAACTCGACTTGCAGGCGGATGTGATGAAGAGAGCGATTACCATTGACATTGAAAAGTTCGTCGAGTCCGAGTTGAACCGCTGGAATCAAGCGTATCAAGGGGAAAAGCTTTGGCTCCCTCTAGATGATTACGCGCACAGCCTGATTGCTAATGCTGTTAAAACCAGGGCAGATGGCATGTAAGTTAAACATTTCGTTGGAAGCCTCCAATATTATTGACTTGATTTCTTATGGTACCGCATAGGTTTCGTTTAGCAAGTTGCCTTCTTGATTTGCTTTTGAGAAAAGACGATTTGGAAGACCTTCAAATGGCCTTGGAACAACTACCACCAGAGCTCCCAAAAGTATATGACCGGATATTTAACGATATGAAGAGTAAAGGGGAATTTAAAACTGCCTCAATCTTACTTCGATGGCTACTCTGCTCTGGACGTCCGCTGAGCCTTGAGGAGCTGGCGGAACTTACTAAAGCAGACCCTCAGGGTGACTCCTTCAACGCCGAAGGGGGTGCAAGAGATAGAAACTATATATCTCTAACACTCTCGAGTTTTGTTACTATATCAAAGGATAATTTGGTGCAGTTTGCTCACCAAACTGTCGTGGACTATCTGCTCTTAGACAGGACAGAAAAAGGCTCCTTCGCCCGGAAAACCGAGTCGCATGCATTTGTCGCGAAATGTTGCCTATCCTACATTCAATTTTGTAGACTTTCTGATACAAAATGGAGGCCTGCACATGATTCAGATCACGGTTGCCGAACGGGGTATATGTTACTTGAATATGCTCTTAACAACTGGTATAAACATGCCCTGGAAGCATGGAGTGATCCTGCAGAAACAGTCCCACGAGGTAGACTTACGCTGCCATCAGAGGTGGCATCACATGAGGGAGCTCATCGTTCAAGCGAACTGCCTGCTGATCGTTCATCTGTCCGAGTTGATACCATGTTAGAGCCCGAAAATACCCAGCAATCACTCCGTGAATGGGCACAGTCGGCAAAGCTGTACCTTAGTCAGGTGTCCAAGATCGAGTCTGTGCTATACGGCGACAGGCTAAAAGCCTTTGCATGCAAAGGGTACGAGCTTTTTGTTAAGACCCTTTTAGCAGCTACGGCTCCTCCTATTACTTCCTCCCCAGATATCAGCTCAGGGGTCTTAACGGCGGCGCTAGCTGGGTGCTACGATGTCATGGTTCGACTTATGCTTGATGATGGTACTGAAAGAGGAGAGCAGGTGGCTAATTCGTGGCATGAAAAGTGGCATCTAAGGTTCGAGGTACATCCATTGACCTATGAGTCGCACGTGGCGATCGTGCGACTACTGTTAGAACATGGGTTGGATTTGGATATGGTGGATCCCAATGGACGGACCGCACTACATACTGCAGCTTCCCAGGGGCACGAGACGATACTGAAGCTACTATTAGAAAAGGGAGCCGATCTTCAGCTTAAAGATTACAATGGACGAACGGCTCTACATATCGCTTCATCTCAGGGGTACGATGTAGTAACGCAGTTGTTACTGGAAAGCGGAGTGAACGTGGGCGCGAAGGATAAGCTGGGATCGACGGCACTAGACCTTGCGGTGCAGAGAGCAATTATGGACCTTATCCCGCAAGATATTCAAGTTACCGCTGAGTATAGAGACAGGGATGTAGAGCCACAGGCAGTTCGGAGCGATGAAGCGGCAGTTGCTCGTACCATTCGCTTACTGTTGGAGAGGGGGCCCGACTTTGAAGGAACTTATGGTACAGAAACACCGACACTATTGTCGGAAAACATAGCCTCCAAAGAGCTGATCGGATGTATGGATGGAGATATTACGAGATTCCAGAAGTCGGTGGTTGAAGAAGTAAGTGTGACAGAAGCAGCAACAAGACTCATTGTGTCGAATGTCACATGGTTGGTGCTCAATGGAGGATCTGTCAATTTTAGGATGTCACTAATTGAAGAGCTGATGGAATACGGAAACTTTGCTAGCTTCAGGTATGCAGCTCCGGTCGGCTTATTGTGGCCATATAAACGGTCCATTAACTTCGCAACAACTCATTTCGAAGACGCGATCATCTATCAAGGGACCGCCAGTTTCACGAGGTCACATATCACAAGTTTCGTAGTCAATGGAGGGACTGCTACCTTTGCAAGATCAGCCCGGATCACGGATGCAGTTGTCTACGATGGATCCGTCAGTTTCACGACGTCACATATCACAAGTTTCGTAGTCAATGGAGGGACTGTTACCTTTGCAAGACCAGCCCGGATCATGGATGCAGTTGTGGATCACGGATCTGCCAATTCTAGAGGGCTGTATAGAAGAGGGTTGGAACTTAATAAAGGGTTTGCGACGTTACTCAGAACAACCCACATTGCGGATCTAGTAATATATGAAGGACAGGGCAGCATCCCGATCAAGTCTAGTCATCAAGTCTATCAATCAATCAATCAAGTGAGGCTATTCCCAATTATCAATCAGTCAAGTTTAAAAAGTCCAAAACTTGATAGACTTGACAAGTATAGGGTAGGATTTTTTTATGGATTATAGTTATTCCGATGCTAAAAATAGCAAAAAATTATAATTATATTACCTTACGATAATATAATTAAAATTTACGCTTATAATAGGATTCGAACCTATACTTCTTAGCTTAAATAACCAAGTGTTATACTACTAAACCATATAAGCTATTATTATCTTTTTTTCTTTTTTTACTAAATAATATATACATTAGCTATTAGGAATTTGATAATACTAATAACACAAAATCGCGATGCGTATCCGCTATATTAACGTCATAATAATATACTTTCCTTTGTACATACGCCCTTAATACCAATGAGCCTGACGGTTTTTGGGGCATCGCGCCCTTCTAGTATTCATTTGCAATTCGCTACTGTATCGTAAGTTACCCTATTGTCCGATTTTAACCCTAACGGCCGCGATACAATCGAGAACCTCCCGACTGCAATATGGCGAGGCCGTCGCTTTGTTCTTGAGGAAATGATATTAAGAAAGGGGTCAAGAGGTCGTATAAGCTAGATTAGAAAGAAAGGGCTTTTTGTTCAGGAGATTCTTGCGGATAATAAGCTAGGTATCTCCTCCTAAAATAAAAAATCTTTTCTTATATTATATACTTTTATATACTGATTTATATCATGCAGGCAATATGTTTTAGATATATCGATGATGTGATGAAAATGGGAGCCTCCTTAAGCCTCTTAAATTAGCGGCAATAACTGCTGTAACTGATTATCTCAAAAAGAAACACTATATCGAAGAGTATAATATAACCGACTTATCTTCTAGCTCATAAGTTAATACTACCCCTGCTCCGTTTAAATGACCTTGGAATAAAGAGACGTTTTATACACGATCATATATACAAAAGCTTAAAGAGCTTTTCCTTGCTTTCTTGATCAATAACGATCTACTGTTCTCGGTCTTCGAGGATCCATATATTCGAGAATTCAGCTACTAACTTAAACCTGATGTAACAAGCCAGATCTCGTGGAGTAGAACAAGACAGTGGCATAGCCTCAAGTCCTTATTCAACTTAAAGAAAGGAATCATTTAAGCCGAGATGTATAACACTATTATAAGAATATATCTTAGGTTTAATCTATGGACCTTACCAAATCGACTCGTGATAATGGCTATTACAGGATATTTCCTTGATTATAGTGGAAAGCAATAACAACGCCTTCTTGCTCTTCGGTAGTAATCAGGAGCTCATACTGGAGAGAATCTTATAAATACCCTTCTATAGGCTATATAAGACTAGGATATTAATAATCGAATCGGTACTGTTATATCTAACAATGCCTTAAATAACAATACCTATACTCGAAGTCTCTTTTATTAACTGGACCTATGGATGACTTTAATTGATGCAGAAGAAAGGCGAATGCAATATTATAGCCACATTCTCAATCTCGTTGGCCGTGCTTTTTTATATCACGAAAACAGTAAAGCCTTTGAGCAAGAGTCATAGTTTTATTATATGGCCGATCGCCTTAATGATGATCTTTGTTATTAGAGAAAGAAAGACCCTGTTAGAAAGCTTTATAATATCGTTACATTTATTCAGGCCTCGCCTCAACAAAACGAGCAATTCAAGAAAACAACCGAAGAAATTAATAATAATAGTGTCTTTACTTTATTAAATATATTATCTCAAGAGCTTAAGCTTATTACAAACAATAAGACAAAGTGGAATTCTATATATCTAATGATTAAACATGCTTTTCTTAAACGGGCACACATCTAAGCCTTCATCAACAATCATCAGTTTAGTATTAACCCTTAGATATATATCCATCAGAATAATATTCTTAGTCATAAGGATTAGCGAATTCTAATAGAAATTAAGGTAATCCTTAAACCTTTATATATATAAACAATACATTATTAAAGATAAGGTAAAGAAGATAGCTATAGGCGCCTTTAGGAGGTTCTAGCCGGCATTAAGTTTTTACTTTAATACCTTAAGGATTAAAAAGCTATATATACATCGCTAATTAACAAAAAAATTAAAAAGACTAAAAGCCAAATGCAAATCATACTATCTACTAAACCTTATCACTCTTAACGAACTGTTTCCCGCCTCAAATCAATATTATAGCCTTAAAGCCTAAGATCATGATCCTCTTGAACGAATATAATAACCATACTCCCTGTACACACAAAAAAAGAATACTTAAGCTTTATATTATAATCTAAGCAGTACTTTTCCCTTTAAAAAAGCTCTAAAATATATCTTTAACTTTCTATTATAATTATATAGTAAAAGCTTAATAACTATTATATTCGGCTTAAAGAATTACCTTTTTTACTATAGTAATAATCCTTAATCTTAAATATAATATTCGATAGCTTAAGCGAATATAGGATAGTAATAAGCAGTTAATATGGCTTCGTGATACTAAAAAGAACCTTACGAACTACTAGGAGCGTTAGTACTCTTATAATAATAATACTAATATATATAATTAGCCTTCAAATAACAAGGATTTCTTAACGGTAGTTTTACGGGTAAAGGAAAATAATCCCTATGAGTAATGGCTTAGAAAGAGTAAGGCCTAGCCACTTAATAATATCTTAGAGCTAAAAAAATACCTTAACCTTGATTTGCAAGGCGTTAAAGATCCTGTTAAATGGTGGATATCATAGTAGCAGGCCTTCCTAACCCTTAGCAAGTTTATATTAGACTTGCTTACAGTTCCCGCGATGGCAGCAGACTGCGAGAGAGCCTTCAGCCTCTATAAGCTAACGCTATTATCTTAACGGCTCTTAATAAGGTCATCAATACTCGAGATGCTATAATACTTAAAGAACTAGTTACGGACTAGTGTAATTTCGCTTGGGGGCGGCTTTGCTATACCAAAAAGGCCAGGCAGTATATAAATCAGCTTTAACACCAAAGAAATCTAGATACCAGAGTCCCACGATAGTATTAATCGGTTATGAATAGCTTTACTTGACAAAATACACTTTAACACTAAGAGAAATTCAGTATTACAGTATTACATAACCTTAACCTGTTGGGAATAGTCTTGCCCTATTAAGCCTACCAAGTTCAATCAATTCTAGCAAGTCTAATAAGTCTGGCCCTCGCGGTCATCAAGTCTCGCAAGTTAAGGTGGCAAACTTGACTTGATTGATCGGGATGCTGCCCTGATGAAGGATCCATCAACATCTCAGGACATTCCATGATCAACGATATTGTAGTATACGGAGGTTCCGTTACTATCTCAGGACATTTACATACCACGGATCTAGTAGTATACGGAGGTTCCGTTACTGTCTTGGGACATTCCCACGTTACGGCTATAACAGTGTACAATGGATTCGTCAATATCTTGGGACATTTGCATATCACGGATCTGGTAGTACACGGAGGTTCCGTTACTATCTCAAGACATTTGCATACCACGGATCTGGTAGTACACGGAGGTTCCGTTACTATCTCAGGACATTTACATACCACGGACCTAGTAGTATACGGAGGTTCCATCAACTTCTTTTCAGCAGCCCATATCAAATATCTAAGCATGCAGGGGGGCGCGTGAATATTCTACATGGACTCTACCGAGAGATGAGGGAGCTGGTTTTGGGAGTGACCTTGGGCATGGTGGGCGAGGAGGACAATGGAAGCAGTGTAGTACAGGTACAGGTAGGAGAGGCGACGATACTCGACGGATCCTTTTTATCCATCAGTGGACAAGGAGCCCTTTTCTTAGCAGCGACACGTGGGCATAATGCCATAGTGAGGCTACTCTTAGAAATGGGGGCAGATTGTAACACAACCCAAGACAGTTTGGAAGGTCCTAGATGGACAGTACTACACGAGGCAGCCTTTAGGGGACAGGAGGCAACTGTTCAGTTGCTCTTAGAGAAAGGGGCTGATGTCGATGTCCGAAATCATGATGGACAAACTGCGTTGGAGATTGCACTCACTCGAGGGCACGTGGAGATTGCGCAACTTTTAGAAAAGAGTTGGCTTCATGGAGTATGCAGGCAGGGGCAAGCAGTGGTTTATAAGGCTGCTAAAAGTGTATATAATAGATTGTTTTTCTTTTCTTTTCCAAGGTAAAAAAATAAAATACGGATGGAATTTCCCTTCAGAGAATGGGATTACAGAGCTTAAATCCAATCTATAATACAGCTTCACAATCTCTGCGTGTTTGTAATTATAATGTTCCGGGTGTTTCCCAATAAGAATAACCTAGAATATAGTTTTAATATTGATAATAAGTTAAAATAAATTAAATAATGGGTTTAAGTGGTGTAGTTTTGTGTTAAATATTAATAATAAATAATTATATTAATAATTATGTATCCGGAAAGAATAGATTCTACACTGAGGCCACAGCACGACTCATTTCAACCACAGGGCAACGCAGAAGAAAGCGTGCCAGACCAATACTTTCAGAGTATGGTATTTGTAACTACGGAACACCATGATGGCACGGGAATAGATATGGGCACTGGTTTCATGGATGAAACACCGTGTGACGGGAACGTCAACCGCACCTCACCCGTCCTTGGACTCACGAGGCTTAGCCACACGCCGTACCATTCACAACCTAGTGAGAATGGCCCCCACAATCTTCCGCCTTTGAACTCGCGATTCTCGGCCCTACGCCGTACAATTCAGCTTGCAACTTGGGGGCTGTCCCGTCGTATGCAAACTTTATTCCCAACGGGGATGTGAATGATGTTTACTTACTAGGCGATATACTCTCCAATGAGCATGACATAGTCGGGGTGGTAATGTAGATTAAGGATTATTAGACTGTCTCTACCTTATTATTAGCCAGAAGATATACATTATTCCATCGCCTGGAATCCTCAGAGTGATTTCTCTGGAAAGCGTAGGCATACATAATATCTCGCCCTTTTTTAACTCATAATAAAACTGCCCGTCCTCAATCTTACATCTGTCGGAGCAGATGAGTGGGACTATAAATCCTGCTTGATTTGTAAGTAGAGTATGTGGTTTCATTCTACACAGATAACGACCCAGCTTCGGGTTCTAGTAATGTTAGCCAAGTCTTCCCTAGCCATTAAAGAGAAAGTAAAATGAACACTGTTGAAAAAAGGTTTTGTCATGCGAGCTACATCGACATGTCTTAATTGTTCAATGCCCCGGCCTGTAGCGGTTTCCCATTTTCATCTGGATGTGA